TCAAGGTGACGTCCAGCAGGCAGGTGCCGTGCACCGCGATCGGTGAGCCGTTTGCCGCGACGAGCTGCTGGCCGACAGGAGCAGGGGTCAGCGTAGACCCGTTGGGCAGGCAGCGGCGAGGCAGCACGCTGACCTGCGCCCCGGTGTCGACTAGAAATTGCCGGTCCGTCTCCGTGTCCCTCACGAAGAGGAGTGGCGCGGCGGGAGGGGCGCCCGTGCTTTGCGCCATCAGCACGGGGCGCCTCAGTTTTCCGAGGCGATCCAGGAGCACGGCAACTTGCATCGGCGCGCTTGGGCGCCGAATCGCTGGTGGTACCAACACAGCGTGTCGTCGTGCGGCGGCGTTGAAGGACGAGCCGGTGACGGGCGGCGTGACTGGCGAGACGCCTGGCGCGGCCGGGAACGGCTGCGGTCGCGTCGCACGACGTCCTCGAGTCGTCGGTTGCTGGCCTCCAGGCGCTCCATCTTAGCGACCAGGGAGGCGATGACGGTGTCCAGCGCAGGGGTTGCAGCTGGCGCTGGGGCTGTCACTGCAGCAGCGATGGGCGGTGCCGGCTGTGTGTACGGCTGTGCCGCGATCGCTGATAGCCGTGGGTCCGGTCCGCTAGCTTCCAGATACCGGTCGGCCGCTTCTGCCAGTGCGTCAAGCGTGCTGTCGGCTGGCAGGAGGGCGAGGGCAGCACGGACGGGCTGCGGTAGCCGTTGTTGAAATAGGGTACGGAAGAGCTCCGTATCAACCGGGGCGTCCCCGGCTGCGGCAAGCTCGTTGCGCATTGAGCGTAACAGCGCCGTCGGCTTCTGATCGCCGAGCTGCTGGCGGCCGAGCAGGGCTTGTAGTCGGTCGGCGCGTGACTGTGCCAGGCGGGCTTGGAGCGCTGCACACAGCACGTCAAAAGACCGAGATGACCGGATGACGTCCTTGACCTGGACGGCGATGTTGGCGGGGAGGTTTGCGACGAGGAGCTTAAACCTCAGCTCGTCGGAGTCGACCCCGCTGACGTCGAAAGCGCACTGCACCTGCAGTAGCCACAGGTCGGGCTCTTCCGGAGAGTATGGTGGTAGCCGGAAGCTAGCCATGGGCCGATGAGTTGACTCGGAGGCTGAAGCTGGAACGCTGGCTGGGTCTTGAGCTGCGGCGCCGGACTGTGCGCTGTCCGCCGGCATGACGAGAGGCTAAGGTCGAACAACGGAGATCACGTCGGGGTCACCAATTGTCGTACTGGCGCTGTGGGTAGCGCGTGGCTGGACGGACGGTCTGTGACAACCTATTGATCTGTGGCTGATCTATTAGAGTGTCCGTCCGAGAGCCGTACGACGGCTGACAGAGCCTGGGGGTCGCGAACTGGTGTGGTAACCGTTACGCCCACCTGGGACGCCCGAGTCGGTACGGCACTTGCGGTGTCGTAACCGGATCGGCGGGAACCAGCAGAACGCTGTTGGACCGGCGGTGAAAGTCGGAACCGAGCACTCGCCCACCAGTGGGGCGTCTGGTCGAGCAGGTCTACCCGCTAAGGCAGCCTGAGCACGAACCAGTGGCAGGGTCCGATCAATGACCGTGGTCCGACCAGGGTGTCAGCGCAATGGCCAGTCAGAGGCGTCTTTAAGGGCGCAGAAGCCCACCTCGGTCGACTGTGGCCAGTGCAACCTAGTCAGGTCGTTTGTGTGAATCTCCGTGTTCTTCCCTCGCCTCAGAGTAGCCGCTCTTCTCCAAATGCCCGAGCCGTTTTCTATGTGTATTTGTCTTGTAGCGAACAGCAGAGTCGAGAAACGAATTGACAATGTCGCCGAAAACCGCGGTCACATGCTGGCCGTCCCTAGTACTACCAATATGCCCGCAGGCGCGGCGAGAGACAAGCTTAACGTATGAGTCACCGTCCGGCTGCCGGGAGAGCCCCTACCGCGACCTTTGCTCACAGTCATGACGTCACGACAATGGGCTCCTAAACGTACGGGCAGCGGCCGCCTCAGGGGTGCCGCCGTGACCTTTGCACGACACGTTCTATAGCGTATGGCACAGCGGTTACTAGGAAGGTTGAGGCCAGCGGCAGGCCGGTTTACAAATAACAAACAAACTTGACGCGCAATTGACAACAGGTAACAGATTGATTAATAAAGCGGTGACAATATAAATGAAAATGACAACATGAAATGACAAATCGCATAGATGATCCCTACAAAGCAAACAAAAATAAAAAGGCGATAAATTGAAAAATGTTTTTTGCACTTCTTAACCCGCGCGGGGCTGGGGGGGGGTAAATTTTACCCCCCCTCGCGAATTTTTGCGATATCTCATAAACGGCGGCGCGCAGCGCCGCCAAACTTTCAGTACCTTTTCTTACATCAATTTGACACGTTCCCTAAAAATTTGAGCGAAATCCGTCGGAAAATTTTTGAGAAATTGACGTTTTAGTGACGTCATGTTCGCCATTTTCGCCTCAAAAACGGCAAAAGTTTAAACGCCGCTAACATCTTCATTTTTAAAGGAATCAAGACGTAACAAAAAAGGTTATACGTAATTTTACTTTGTCTATCAAATGGCTATCTCGGTTTTTTGAAAATTTTGGATTTTGGCCTAAATTTTTTTCAAAAAACTGACTTTTTTGGGAAAATAATTATAAAATCCAAAATTTTGAGTGTATCGAAAAAACCGGAATATATGTCAGAGAAGTGGTCTATGTGCACCTACATACCAATTTTTAGAAGAATCGGTTCAAAAATGTGGGAGTTATTCAAAATTTTATGACGTCACGACACACAAAATTTTTGAAAAATGACTTTTTTGGAAGTTCTAGACCTCGTACGGAAACAAAAATAGCACCATTCGATTCGCCGTGAAAAACTGCATCAGATAGACACCTTTTTAGGCCTTAACAACCAACTTCAAAATTTGACCTCACTTGACCTGACCTTGACCTGACCTCGACCTGAAATTCATCCAGAGGTGGTCCATATCACTTATTGAGTGTGCCTATTGAATTCTATGAGTAAAATGACCCATAAAACATGTGTCGCACATGCCCTTTTCTATATTTTGTTTTTTGGTGACCTGACCTGACCTGACCTGACCTTGACCTTGACCTCTGAATGATATTGTATGCAACGAATATTGTCTTGGTAGCCTAAGAACACGTTTTGGGTGATCAGTCTCAGTCCATGACTCCATTCTTCGGCAACTACGGTGCAAGGCCGATACTGTAGAAACTTGCAATTTGTACCCTTGACCTGACCTTGACCTTGACCTCAAACTTTAAATTAAGTACATGTTTTTAGTAGTTCGTGACGAGAGCTTTCGATAGGCGTTTGAATTTTCCAAATCGGACCATTAGTTCGGGAGATAACAGGGGGGGTAAAATTTACCCCCCCCAGCCCCGCGCGTTCGGCTGGAGACCCCAGCCCCGCGCGGGTTAAAACTCCAGAACTTTACTCAGATAAATAATTATCTTATGTTGCAGTTGGATTTCAAAATTTTACAGAACAGTGCACTGTTAAGGTGACATGAAAATCCACATATATGCTTAGTCCATGAACAATGTTAAAATGCCTCTCAAGTCAATATAGGAAGCCCTAGGTAGGTACCTGATTGATGGCATAACAAATTGTAAATGGTCAGAGCATATAAATGATTGAAAAATAAGCATACAAACAGCTGTAAACAGCACTTAACTATAAAACACTTCTTTTGGTTATGGATGTCAATTGCCCAGGACAGTGCTAATTGATTGCTGACTACACAGCCCCAGCCCCCAAGTGACAAACAAGTCACCAACCATCCATGTTCTGCAATTTCTGCCCTAGTACCTTGTACCTTGTACCTTGTAGAATACGAGCTGTTTGAGGTGTTCTACACCTGTTTTGCTCGCTCTTTGTTTGAATTTCTTAATCTTCTAAGTAGTTTAACCGTGATTTTTTATCATGTAGCAAGTATCATTGTTATAATTGGCTCTTGACTTCTAAAGATGCCTGTATTTTTCTCTTGCCCATAGCTTGTCTAACAATGCTTTAAACTCGTTCAGTGATGGGGCCATTACAACCTCTGCAGGTAGAGAATTCCAGTCATTAATGACTCGTATGCTCCAGTGATTGCTTCTTGCCCTCGATTGGGCATGGGGCTTTGCGACCTTGAGCGGGTGACCTCTTGTAATTCTACATGTGGGCTCAGCAAAGAAGTTTTCCCTTGGCAGATCAAGCTTACTGTGCATTACCTGGTAGCATAATATAACATCGCCTCTTCTTCTTCTATATTGGAGTGAAGGAAGCCTTAGAATTCGAAGACGTTCACTGTACGGCAGATCACGTATGTGGCTTACCAACCTTGTAGCCCGCCGCTGGACCCTTTCCACCATCAACTGGTCTTCTTTATTGTGAGGTCCCCAGATAGCGTTGCCATATTCAAGCAGAGGCCTTACCAAAGTCTTGTATAGGAGCGGAAGGGTCTGTGAGTCGATGTTGGCAAATGATCTGCGTATTGCACCAAGCACACGGTTAGCTTTTTTAACTGCTTCTGCTGCTTGAGTTCTGAATTTTAGCATTTCATCAATTGTGACTCCCAAGTCTCTTTCTTCTGAAACTTGCTGCAATGGGACGTCATTTACAGTGTATTTTTGCTTGGCATTGTTTGTTCCTAGATGTAGGGACTTGCACTTTGATGTGTTAAATGGGAGCATCCATTCTTTTGACCACATCTCAAGAGCATGAATATCTGCTTGAAGTGACTGACATTCCTGTTTGGACCCAGAACAGCCATATAACTTGGTGTCATCTGCAAACATGCGAACCTTATTTTTCAGCATGGTGGGAAGGTCTGCAACGTAATTCAATTACCTAATTAATACCTAATTCATAATGTAATGGGAGGGGACACAGAAGATTCTCATACTGCAATGATACATCCTAACAAAGCATGACCTTCTTATGGCACTAGCAATAAAAATGAAAAATGAAATAATTTAAAAGACACAGACACAATAGGTATCTCCTTAGTCCTTATCACTTCAACTTACCTCTTTTGACATTTTCATAGCATGACTGTTGAGTGCTGCAAGCCATGCCTGTGAGATGCTGTTCCTAACTTCTGCTCTTCCATATATCCAGTTGATCACATTATTCACCCACAACACCTCATCATCAATTTCACCGTTTGCCACAGGCGCACCTGACACGTACGGGATCTTGACCGCTCTTGTTGGGGAAGGTGATCGCCTTCTATTAGCAACTGCCTCCTTGAATGGCTTAGATGATTGTACTCTTGATATGAAGCTGGAATCCACTGAGTCAAGTCCACCACTTTTTCCAGAATTTGGCACAATGGGAGCACTTGTTGCCTTTCCACTGGCATTGTTAGGCAACAACACATTCTTTCTTAGTTCAGAATCACTTCCTCCTTGCAAGGACACTGATTCCGCACCAGCACTTTGAACACTTTTATAATTCTTGAAAAAATGCACTAAAAGTGCAAGCACAGCACAGAACACTACCCAACCAAGCACAACAACAGTCAAGGCATCCATTCCCTCAGGAACTGGAGGGTCAAAGCTGCAAATAAAATCGTCCAGCTGCTCAGCCATTGCTCTCCACTGTGCTCTGAGCCAGGCTAAAATTAGCTCTGGCGTTGAAGCTGCCATGATTATAACCTTCCCACCGGCCAACAGCTAAAAATAGTCGGCGGCGACAGCAGCGCCCCGGCGAGGGGATCCTCCCCGTCGATTGGCTACTTCTCTTCTCCTCTTGTTCTACATTTCCTGACAATCTATGGACAATATAAATAATTGGCGATAATTTATATAACTATTTCTTAGTTGCAGATGTCAAATTATGTATCTCGCAGACCACCGTCACAGACAAAACAATACACTGCCGCCCACTCTCGATTGTTTACGTTTATCCCTTATAAGGTTTTGTTTCAAATACGACGAGGCTGAGACATTTCATCGACTCCTTTTATTTTGCTGCTTATTTTCTATTTCCACTATTCCGGTTCCTTACACCGCTGCCATTGTCTTCTTGCATCGTTTTTATCACTGTTATTTCTTTAACCATCATGTATTTGTGAATAACTTTCATGTATTTAAAAAATAATGTTGAAATAATTATGCACTTATACATGTCACACATAAAAAGCGTCAGAGCGTTTGATATAGGTTTTTTTAGCCGAAGGCAGGTCTACCCTGGGTCTACCCGCCTACCTATTTCCATGCTATAAATTATAATTCTATGGCCGGTAGACCGGGTAACGTAACATATTGAATGAAAAGATATCTTTAGATGCTATAACTGTGGTTCAAACTGAAAATAACGTTATTTCTATCGAACGTGTCCTTTAAATTGGACTGAAGGAATTTCATTGCACTGCAGAAAATAACAGTAGGCACTGCATAGTGCCTATAATCGTGTCCTAGGTAGGTATTAGTTACCTATCTTTATGAAGCCTAGCATTTTATCTCTGTGACTCTATGGAAACATCCAACATAACCACTTATTACATAAGTAATTTCCCATAGGTATAACATATTAAAGCTGATGCTATGCTATCGTATATAATGTGAATATTGCATTACTAAGTTCTTTGGAGGCCAGCATCTCTATTTCACCAAACAAAGCAAAAGCTTCTTTAATCTACAAATTATAGTAGCCCTTATTTCATGTAGAACAGACAATGCTTCCAAGCATTCGCCAATGCTCACTCCTTTATACACATTCCTCCATTCCTCCATTACACATTCCTCCATATACCTACATGTACGTTTGTACCAACATGTACCTTTCTTTTATGCTCTTTTGGGCACAAAAAAAAAATGAAAAAATATATCTTCAAAAAGTCACCAGTGTCTACTCAAACTGCAGATCTGTCAGCTTTCTCTCCAAAAACTGGCGCCTTGATTCGGCTCAACTGAAGTCACGTCCATTTATTTAACGTCAACGCTGCGAACGGCGGCCCCTGTGGCCCGGGTCGGCGCGGGCGGCGCCGGTCCCTGGCCAGGCGGCGCCTCAGTCGCCGCAGAACGAGCCCGGAGCCAGCGGCGACTGGCCCCGGCCGGCGGCCACACCGTTATTGATCAGCATTTGTACCTACTGTAGGTCATCTGAGAGAGCGGCTCCCGGGCCGCAGTGCCGGCCAGTGTCAGATCAGGCCCCGTGCGCGGCCATATTGCCAGTTCGCGGTCACAGAACGTCCCTCCGTCGGCGCCACCCACAGCACCACGCCGATCGGTCGCGCACAAACTGCAAACAGCGCCTAAAACACGAGCGGTACGCCATCGCACGCACAGTCCATGCGCTCTGCGGGCGGTCGGCCGCGAGCGGCGAGGGCAGGCGTGTCTCAGTCCGCTGCTATCGAAAAATATGCCCTCTGAGACGTGTCCGTCCGAGCACATCTCCCTGGTCCCAAGACTGGTGCTGCCGACGATCCTGGTGCCTCTGTGGTGCCGGCAGTGCCGCGATGTCGCCGCCGCTGGGGGCGGACACAGCCCGTGGTCCCATATGTGTGAGAAGCGCGCCTTCCCACCAGCAGAGGACAGCGCACAGGGTGAGGCCAACTGCAGAGACAAAAGCGACAGTGTCAGTTTCATGGGATGGTCACGTATATACTTTCATAAATACCTAAATGCTATCAATAAGGTCAATAATCCATGTGTGCGTGTCACCCTTTCACCCTAATCGAAGACAGATATGCTGCTGAATTCATTGAAAAGGCATGAAAGCAGAAGCAATCATCCACTGCATAAAAAGTACACGTCACAAGTCATCATACAACATTCGAGCAGGCCATCGGAATATCTATGCCTACATATAGTCTCAGGCTTGACTAGAAAGACTCGTGTGTAGGCAGTAAAGCTTTTGAACTTATCAAATATGGGTTACCTTCATATGTTAAAGATGGAAAGTCGCGATCATGATTCCTTTTTCGTTGTGAATGACACGATGGAGCGGATGCCTTTGACGGAGATCTGGGGAGCGAATAAGGCTATCAGCTTAGCTCACTGAGACATGAACTATCAAACACTCAACATTTCCTTCTGGATGCGAAGATAAATCAGTAAAATCTTACAATACAGACTTACTGAACGAAGAAAGGCAGATAAAGAAAAAACTTTTAGCATTCGGTCGTGAAGATTCGGCAGTAATGTAACGTCAGCATTAATTCTCTTCTGTCGATGGATTTTATAAGTTCTAACAACTGCTCAGAGGTCTCTAAGCCACGCAGATTGACGATTACCAACCGACCTTTTTCTTGGTTCCAGACATAATCTCCTTGTACATTTCGGACCGGAGGTACCGGGAGTAGCTGTCCGACTTCATCAAGTGATACAGGTGCACCTGTCGGGACAAAGGTCACGGTAAGAGGTGGTACATATTTCAAATGCCGGAGCTTGAGATTGATGAAATCGAGAAATGTAGAAACGAAGGTGTGTGAACCGGAAAAAAAAAACTTTAAAGGAAATAGTTCACTTTTTAACATGGGTTTTGAACTGGAATAGCAGTTCCGTAGCTTGGGCTGAGACGAGCATAAATCAGGAGCTTTTACAGCCCAACGATCACCCTAGGCAAAGATATTCTATTTCTCGTCCCGAAAAAGGTGTCTTGCGTTGAGGATGTGTGCCTTGCATATATTTCCATCCAGTATGAAAAGAGCATGGGTCCCGAAAATTCTTCAGAAACTAGAGAAATTATCTACGAGAACTCGAGAGAAATTCTCGTACTGATCAATTAGGACATTCAGGGGAACATTATCAGATCGAGCAGATCGCCCAAATGCCGGTGGCTGCGATAATTTCTCTGTTTCTGAAGAATTTTCGGGACCCATGCTCTTTTCATACTGGATTGCGTGTGCCTTACAGAAACTGAAAAGTTCTTCCTATATCAAAATATAGAAAATAATATTTTGTTATAAAAAGGTTTTATTTTCTTTGCTGATTATTTTGAACATAAAAAATCATAAATCCGTTGCAAAAAAAAAATAATTTCGTGAAAGTGAACTATTTCCTTTAATAGACATCGGTTGCATTCCTCGAAAGAGCATCTGAAATGGTTTAATTACTTTTACGACGTTCATATGCAACTGAGCCAGATGCAACGAGTTTCTGCATCTGCCTAGGTAGGTCTCAGTGAATGTAAGTACACTTTTTTCATTAAATGTTTCGGGATCCTACGCCTCTGCAACTGACCCCGGCTGCCTCGAACGTCCACCGGTCGGGTTTCTCCATGTTACGCTTTGTGATCTCGTACGACTTGGAGTCGATGTTGACGGGCATTGAGGCGTCCGGTGCGAGGAACTCGGCCCAGATCTGGTGCACCCGGTCCGCCACGGCCTGCTGCGGCAGTGCCTTCAGCTCCTGGAGCGCCAGAAAGAACCTGCGAGGGCACACGGGACGTCAGGAGCCGGGTAGCCGAGAGCAGCGCTGCTGATCGACCGCCGGACGCTTATGGAAACGAAGAACATCTCTCGTTTACTGAGATATGATTTACTTAGACTTTGATTCGAATCTGGCTCGTGTTTACAAAATATTTTATGCAATGAAAATCGAGCCGATTGGCGAAATTCGATTCAGGGTCAAGCTAACCATACTTGTAAGGCATTAAATGTAAGGCAATACACATATAAATTCGTCGTAAAAACGGACGATGTGCATAAAACACTTCATTATAATGATCAGCTGGGAACAATTTACGATGGAAGGAACCACGTTTTAATTCAATTTAGCCAATTTAACTAAAGCTTACCGAAGATTCTCGCCGCTATACTCCTTGTCAAGGAACTTTTCGAACTGATCCCGCCCGATCGGGTCCCGCAACAGCTCGTTGAGACTAAACGCCCAACGTTTGACCCGCTTCGGAGCTATCTCTTTCCTGGGGGCGGACACATAAATGAGTGAATCGCCTTGTTAAACGGTCAAACGGAGCTTTGATCAACACGGCTAGGGCGATATCGCCTGTTTTATGAGTAAACTGACACTTTATCAAAATGTCACGGATCTTGGCGATATGACTTATAAACATCACAGCCATTCTAACCGAATCAAGCGATAACTGAAACTTACGTAAACGTATGAACTTTTATTATATTTCTTACGGGATTGTATCGTCCATTGCACCCACGTCGATTTTCCTCTCAACTGGGTTCTCTGTGGGGGCGCTGCGTTAGATCCGTGACTAAAACGGTATACTCACCCGGATTTCTCCTGGTCCCACAGCTCTGTGTTGTCGCTAATCCAGGGGTTGGACGGCTCTTGGACTGTCAGCGCAGGGTCGTACTCCAGGTACTGCTCGTAAAAACTGATGAAACTGGAACAGAGACGGTCAAAATTGCTCACAAAGGAACGAGTAAAATATTGTAAAATGATTGCAGAGGGTGGGAATGAAAGACGAAATCGAAAATATCTCATTATCATTCAGAATCAGAAACATGACGCACGATGAAATAAACTATTAGTGTTTCATGTCACTAAGAAAACTGTTGCACACAAAAGGCTTTCAAACTTTGAAACATGCGTCGCAGTTCATACTAAACAACAAACAGTTGACCAGGGACACCACAGATGCTGATAAGCCCCTCCCCACAGGTCAATCTCGGTCGTCGCTCCCCCATGACGCTCCGCTCGTCTCGTCACTCACGTTTCGGCGGCTTTGGAGACCCGCAGGCTGCAGCGGTCGATGCTGGCTCGAATGCGGTCGGCAGCGGCTCGCAGCTCCGCGATCTCAGTCTCAGCAGGCCGGCTGCCCTCCTCTGCGGAGGTACCGGCCGCAGAGAGCAGCTGGCCGCATTGGACGGGAACGGGCCGGCCGGGCGCCGAGCGACTCATCCTACACGCCTTCTTGATGTCCACCTCTGTGGTGTTGACGCAGCCCGGCTGGTGGAGCAAAGAAGGGAGAT